TACCAGTCTGTAGTTCCCCAGGTCTTCCTTTCTCCCCGTTTTAAAAATAGAAGTGATGTTTCCCTTTTTCCAATCAACAAGGACTTCATCTGACAGCCATTACTTTCCAAATACCATGGAGAGTGGTTTGGCAATACCATCAACCAGTTCCCTCAGGACTCTGGGATGCATCTCATCAGGCCTCATAGACTTGTGCCTATTCAGTATCATCAGGGGATCTCGAACCTGCTCTTCACTTACAAGGTGAGGGACTTCACTCTCCCAACTCCCATCTAGAGGCTCATGGACTGAGAGACACAGGAGGCCTGACTGCTGGTGAAGACTGTGGCAAAGAACTTTTTGAGTAGCCCAGCCTTCTCTGTAACCTGTGTTCCTTCTTGTTTATCAGATCATTCACTCCTTCCCAAGCGGGTCAGTCCCAATGATTCCCATCCTTCCAGTGCATCTCACTGGACCTGACTCAAGGTAACTTAACCCTCCAACCTGGCATACAATGACTCTTTCTTTATTGTTTTGCTCAGGATAGTTTTTTTGTCACCTTAGCAAGTGGGATTGGCTGTGAAGGAGTTTAAAGTGTGCCAAAGCGAGTGCAAAGAGAGGTGTGGGGGAAAAGGCACTGAATGTGTTACTAGATCAGCTCAGGCCATGACACATACCTTTGCTCTCATGCCTACTTTCAGTATGACATAATATTAAGGGTGCTGACAAAGGAGCTCTGTCAAGTCTCGCTGCTGCAGTTGGAGGAGACCACACCAAGACATGACTGCTCTGCCAGGAGTTGGTATGTGCACAGCAGGCAGAGTAATGGTACAGGTGCTGATGCCTCAGCTTTTTCTGTGTAAAACTAAGTCTCCAGTGAAGGTGGGTGTAAGGCTCTGGACTTTGCACTTTTGAAGGGGCCGAGGCAGAAACACATGTTCTCTTCTGTCATCCCTGAAGGGGAGAGGTTGCAACCTGCAGCAGAGGGATGAGAAAGGCAAGTGGGGTTAGTGACCTCTCAAGAAGGCATGGCAAGATGTGCTAGCACTGGTGTGCCATCCCTGTACAAACACTGCCTTGGCCAAAGGGGTTGTATAACCATATCAACATTGCCAGAAAAGTAGTTTCTGTAGGCAGGGCTTCAATTAATGCCTTACTAGATCATGAGACATCAGCTCTACAAATTGCATTATGAGGTATTAAAAATACTATTTTACCATTTCTCACTGATATAAAGAATACTTTTCCCTTCTTCCCTTTCTCTTGCTGGGGCCTTTGCAGTTCAGCCCTTGGTACTGAAGTGGTCTGGCTTTCCAAAAAGAAAAAATCCGAAAACAAGACTTAAAACGTTTAAAACTCACTGCTCTAAAAAAGTGTAAAGCAGTTCATCTGTAAATTCTGTTGTAAGAAAAATGCATTAGTGTGTAACAAGTATCCAGCTTGACTGACACCAATTATTCTAATCCTCTGAAACAAATCTCCTTAAAATCATTCTGCCAGCATGCTAATGCCCTGTTTTGGTCTACTGAACTTTACTATGTGCCATAGCGGCAGGTGTAAGCGACAGACTTAGAAGTTTTGAAAGTGAGATTCTAGAATGGAAAGTAAGAAAATACAGAATTAATTTTAGAAGGGAAAATAAAATTTTCTACAATGTAAGGATAAACAGGGTTTCACATGGCAGAGGGATTGCTCATATATAATTGAATGTGGTAATGCCTTTCATACCTGTGATACACAGCAATGTAGACAAACTGTCCATGTTCAAAAGTGTGGGTGACATTGTGAATTGCCTGGTTTCACACCTTCATGCCTTTATTTGTGCGCTGTGCAACACTTACATTGTATGTCCCACATGATAGCTTTTTTTGGCGAGCAGTAGAGTGGTTGGGAAGGTTCAGTGTCTGGTCCTGCTCTGGCTTTTATTCCTCTGGGTGGTTCTTGTACAGGATAGCGTAAGCTGAGGGCTGCTTTGCATCTTTATTGGCAAGTTCATAGTTTAGCTTGGGAATTACTAACATTGCAGCCCAGCATCTCTTGATACAGCTTTGGTACCCTTAAGGGGATTAAGAGAGCTCTTGCAGAGTGTCTGTGGGCTAGGCAGGAATCTGTCCTTCCTTGGTGATGATGAAGGTGTCTGATAGAGGCTGTGATTACTCAGTTTACAAATTTGTTCATGTATAATGATGTGAAGACTGCTGCTTGGTGCAGTCTGTATGCATGGAGAAAGAGTTTCTAACCTAAACAATCACAATCTCAATCACGCATCTTCATCATCATCACATTTCTCACAAACTAATGGGCAAACAGATGAAGTAAAATAGCACTCGTAAATAAATATAAATAAAAATCACCACTCTTTGGTTTTGTTTCTCCTGATGTTTTATCTTCACATGTAACAGTCTGACTGCTACTGCAAATGCTAGTGTGAAAAGCACATCATGCTTTATGGGACAAAGCACACTGTCCACCAGAAAACCTGATTTGCAAACAAAGGGCAGCAGATGCCCTCCCGAGGAAGACATGACTTATCAATGCTTGAGGAATAAAAGTATTTACAACTCTGTGAACCTCACTCTGCAAATAGGGCCACAGACTCAGTTTTCTAAGACAAAACTCTGACTCTCTAAGGTGGCTTTTTCTGGTGCAGATCTGCCTAACTCATAATTAAAAACTCTCAAAAGGAGAAAAATAAAGATGTAATGACCAACTTCAGCTACTGCTGGAAGACCACTCTCAGCCCTTCACTTGTCAAGGCAGCATCATTACACTTGACAGAAAGGCTAGAAGGTCAGAATCTACAAATACCTGATTCTGGCACAGGAGTATGTGCTTGAATGGGTGTGTAAACAAGAAAATGGGGGAAATCCAAGAGAAGTCAAAGGATTTTGGCACATAATAGCTTTTACATGACAAAGAAAGTGTGAATGCAGCAATAATATTTCCTACTGTATCCAAATTTCATAACTTTGAGATTTTGTAGTTGAACCTTGCATCCCTTGCTGATTATGACAGCTGCTCTTAGTCTATCATGCCTGATTGATTTTTCAGGTAAGCATTAAGGGATTAATAAGATGCAGAATTGTATCTTATTACTTATAAAACCACTTAAATGTGAAGTGTGTACCTAAATCAAAGGAAGTCCTTTCACAGTCCATATCTCACCACATATGAATTTATCTGATGTCATACTGCTTGGATGTTGATAGAGCTGTCAGGGGGTAATTTTAGATTAGACCTGTGCTTAGTGCTGTGCACTGAGGGGTAGATGCTACTGGATTCAAGGAGAACAAACGTGGGATACGTGACCCACTCCTGCATGTGCCGGGACCTGGAGTTTGCAGCTCGAGCAGCATCAGCAGCACGCACTGCTTGTAATCCCGTCAGGATTCGCGACGTGAAGGGGAAGAAAAGAACCAGCATGGATTTTGCCTTTTTAGGGGGTGAAATGTACCGGGTTCCAGCTGAAGCGCATGTCACCCCGCGCTGTGCCGGGTTCTGCGCGGGGCCCTCCGGGACACGATACGCACACACCCCCGCCGCATCTTGCGGGAATCCCGGGCGGCACTGAGCCAGCGCTGTCATCGGTGGAATTGCGGGGGGTGGGTGTGCGTGTGCAGGCACCGCGGGACGCGGTGCCGCGGAACGCCTGGGACAGCACAGGTCGCCGCCGAGCAGAATGGATGCCCTCGTCACACGGATGGATGCGGGGTGGCGAAATTAGAGCGGGGCGTGATGCCGGTAACTTCAGGGACACCGAGTGAGGCACGTCCGCCCTGTCCCGCCCGGTGTCCCGCCCGGCTTGGCCGCAGGCAGCGTCTCTCCGCAACGTGTCTTTGCTTTGGTTTTGATTTCTGTAGAGGTTTCGTGTGTTTGTTGCGTGTGTGAGAGGAGCTGAGCGGTTATTTACTTTTCCTTTTTCATGAGGCGTTTTTCCCCGAAAGCGTGCTGCTCGGTCGGACACAGACTGAACAGCGACAGCGGGACAGTATTTCGTGGCTGGCCAGTGCAGGGACAGTGTTACTGGCAAGGGGTCACGCGGAGGAACAGCGAGTTTTGGTTTGGAAGCGAGGAACGAAGTTTGTCACGGTTTGACTGCAGTTGTCCCGGCGTGGCACGAAGCCGCCGACGGTCCAGGAGGTGTTTCCTGCTAGCAGAGCCAAGCAACCTGGTGGGCCCTTTGGGGTAAATAATTCAGGGAAGTGTTATTTTATTACATAAACCTTTATAAAGGAGTGCATTCCTCGCCCAGAAAAGCGGTACCTGCCGCCTAATGCTACACTTCTGTCTGGTGCTGAAACTGCCGCTGCAGCAGTCGGAGGTGAGAGGCGGCAGGAGAAGCCCAGGGAGGCTTTTGCAAAGTTCACTTGGACTAGTCCAAGAGCCCCGGAGCGGTGGGGTACGTCGAGGTGCGGTGCGGTGTCCCCCAGGGCGCCTGCGGGACGGCTCGGTGGAGCCAGGGGGGTTCTCAGCCCCGCCGACATGCAAGGCGAGAATTCCTCAATGGCGCTGGCCACGCCCACCCCGCGAGGAGGTGGCACCGGGGCCACGCCCCCGCGTGCACGTGTGGGAGCCCTCGCCGCTGTTCCCGGGGGCTGGCCCCGCCCCGCCCCAGGCGATTGGCTGCCCGCGCTGCCGCGGGCAAGGAGTGGGCGGGGGCGTTCGGCCCGCGCCGGCGCTCACCCCCGCGCGGCGGCGCGAGCACACATCCCGCACGTAGCCGGCGTGTTAATAGCGTCGGGCCATCTGCCGCCGCCGTCTCGCGCGCCGGGCGGGGCTGCCGCGCCCTCCCGCACGCCTCGGGGCGGTCCCGCACGCTGCTGGGGCGCGGCGCCGCAGTAGCAGCGCGGGGCTCCGGCCAGCACCGCCGCTCCGGCCAGCGCCGGGCCGCCGGTGCGTAGCCGAGCCGCCGCTGCGAAAGTTTTGCCTCGCCTCGCCTGGCCCCGCGTCGCGGCGGAGCCCTTGCCCGGCTCGGCCTGGAGCCGGCGCGGACTGGCGGGCATCGCCTCCCGACGCGGGCGCCGGCAGGGCACCGCGCTCCCGCCCCGCCGCGCCATGCCGCTGGGGCACATCATGAGGCTGGACCTGGAGAGAATCGCCCTGGAGTACGTCGTGCCCTGCTTGCATGACATCGGCTTCTGCTACCTGGACAACTTCTTGGGGGAGGTGGTGGGGGACTGCGTGCTGGAGCGGGTGAAGCGGATGCACCGGGACGGGGAGCTGGCCGACGGGCAGCTGGCCGGCCCCAGCCGCGGCGTCGCCAAGCGGCACCTCCGCGGCGACCAGATCAAGTGGATCGGGGGCACGGAGGAGGGCTGCGAGGCCATCAACTTTCTCCTCACGCTGATAGACCGGCTGGTGATGTACTGCGGGAGCCGACTTGGCAAGTACTACGTGAAAGAGCGATCCAAGGTGAGGGTCCCCTGGGTCCCGTCCCTCCTGCCCGCCCGCCCCGGCTCCCAGCCGACCCGACCCGCCTCGCAGCTGCTCGTGGGACCTGCTGGAAACTTAACATGGGCGTCCGCGCTGTCCGCCTGTGGGTGCCTGTGGCTCGGGCTGTCCCGCAGCACCGCCCCGGGTGGCGGAGGCGCCGTGCGCTGCCCGAGGGGACGCCCTTGCCGGCGGCGGCCGGGTGCGGGGTCCCTCGCCCCGCCGGTGCAGGCAGCGCTCCGGGGCGGCTCCTCTTGCTGGGTTTTCGCTGGGCTCTTCGGCTGCCGGACCCTGGTCAGTCCCTTGCCTGTTCCTCTGTGTGGCACCGGCGATCACTTCGCAGCCGTCCAGGGGGCTGCAGGCAAGCTCCCCGCTTCGCGGTGGTGGGGCCGGACCCGCTGCACCCCGCCGCTCGCTACTGCTCGCCCCAGGTGCGGAGAGGGTGGACCGGCGCGGGGAGTACCCCACCAAAAACGTCTAGCCTTGTCTATGTTTCGGGGGTGAGGAAGCTCTCCACCTCCCTCCCTGCGAACGTACCCAGCTCGGATCCGGTTATTTGGTTGTTTGCGCCGATGTGGTGGTATTATACAAAGTAGTTTCGAGGTTCCTACTCATGCCAGCGTCCAGTAGCAGAAGAGATTATCGTTATTGCATTGGGTATGTGGCACAAAATAAGGGATGCTCAGTTTGAGCACTGCAAACTTTTGTCTTAAAGAGTTGTTTTTTCTAGGCTTTTTTGCTCAGAAATGGAGAGGACACTTGTGTTGTTATAGGACACTTGTATTGTTGGTTTCTTTCCCAATGAAGTTTATTTGCACTTGCAACGTCATTAGTTTGAGATAACTTGTCTTTTTTTTACTTGTCTGTTTTGCTGTGGCAAAGTCGACTGGCTTGGAACTAAGTTCATTCGTTGTCCTGAATGCTGAAAACGTCCCCATTTATGTATTCCTGTAATATATAGTATATTTTCAAAATGTCCACTGCTTTCAGAGATATGCCAGAAACAAAAAACAATGAAACTTTAAAAAAATGACAACAGTGAGCAGTTAGGCATTTCTTTTGATCCTTACTTGCACTGGACTAAGAGGATGTGTGAGTGGTACTGAGATTTATTTTTCCCCGCCACAAAAATGAAGAAAACAGAATGGTGATGCTTACCAGTTGCTTGGGAATACACTGAAACCTGCACATGCACCCCCCTACATTTCCTCTCAGTGGTGGTAGTAATAAAAGGTTGAAACGTTGCTCCTATGCTTAGCTCCACTGAATTACTGATCATCAATTCAGTTAATGCTTGGGTAGATATGGTTTAAAATGTGGGTAGATTGGATTTCACTTATTCCTGTTGGGAGCCTGGTATTAGGAGGTATAAATAACCATTCTGCTTTGGCATACCTTTAAGGTCATCTTCGTCCTTTCTCTGGGTGACTTCTGTTTATCTGTTTATTGCTGAAAGTGTGTTACTGGCTAATGGAGTGGGTGTTCAGGGGGTGAAAGAATAGGGGCTTACTTTAAAGTTGGATTGGAGTGAAGGGAGGTTGTCCAGCCTTTTTACAAGGTATTTAGAAAAAGACAACTGGATGAGTGAAGGCTTTTGGCACTGGCTAGGGAGAAGGGTCTTTTGCTGAGTGACTTTAAGTTTTGGAGATGATTTTAAAACTGAATTGTGTTGTTCTTGAAGTCATTTTTGCACAAATGGTAATAACAGAAGGGATAGAACTTGTGTTACAAATAGATACCAAGCTACTTACTTTAAAGAGAGACTTTTGATGCCTGTGCTTTAGTGTGGAAAGCGTCGGACTCTGAACAACTCATGGAAGGGCTACACAGCAGTCAAGGACTGAAAGGGACTCAATATTGTTTGTAAAACTAAATGCAGAGAAATTTTTATCAGACACTAATAGTCACCAATCCCCTTGTTAAAATAATAAGCACCATGGATATGTGAGGCCCTGGAATAATAGCAGCTGCCATCTGTAACTGAGATGTTGGATGTCTTCAGCAGGAAGATTATTCCTGTGACTAATCAACTGACTCCTACAGTGCATGCAGGTTCTCACGTCATCTACTGACGTTTCTGTTCCATCATTAAACCTTCCCATTTTGCTTATCATCTAAAGTCTTGTGAATGCATATACACAAATCCCTAATTTAAATTCAGTGTATTTTTATCAGACAGATTATACACATAAATGGATGCCCATAAACTTTCATAGAACTTCTTTGTGGGACATGTGCTATTGTAATTTATTGTTTTGGAATATAGATATTAGACGAGCTAAGAGTCCAGAACAATTTGTTTAAAATGTAAGCCTTTGGCTACATGGTAACTCCTCTTGTCATGAAAATGTATCCATCTCATATTGGCCCATCGTTATTTAAAGGTTTATACTTTTAAATAAATAGTGTGACTTCAGTCTTCAGCCTAAGTGTTGAAAGAGGAGGAGAGGTTTGCCTGGTAAATGAACTTATGTCAGATTACTATCAACTTAGTGTGAAGTGCTTCATGTTTTTGTAGCTACACAAAGGAACACAAGAAGAACTTTTGTCCATTAAAGGAAACTTTCCTTGTAGCTACATGAGAGAAGTGAGCCAGTTAGGATTTTACTGTTTCCAAATGAATTTCAAGAGCATTTCAAGAAAGTTAAGATTGCATCAAAGAGAATGGATAGAAGTAAAATTTTACAAGGGTATTGGATATTCTTATGAGCTGTTGGTTGACATTTGAGGGCTGATAATGAAATGTAACCTTTAATCTTTGCAGACTAGTGATAAAAATCTATCTTTGGAGTAAGTCATAGTTTAAAATATTAGCTGATTAGATGATCAAAACATGGTTAAATGATCAAAATAACCAGATAATAAAAGGATTCTTCTGTTGATAGCCTTGCACTGCTTGTTGGCTTTTGCATTCTCCTCAACTAGAGCCTCTGTTTTCCAGTAAGATAATACAAAGATTCCCTTTTTCTAGTAGGTAAATGGCTGAGAATATCACTGAGGTGTTGTTGATCCAGGTTTAGCCCTCTACTCAGAGTGAGAATATTCATGTCCTTGAGTGGAGGGGATGCTCTGGCCTGGGGACCAAGGTCACTCTGATTTTGAGGATCTCTTTCTACTCTATTGGAGCTTTGCTTGAAGAAAAGCTGGTGGGTGGTTGGGGCCAGGAAGAAAAGCTGCAGCTTGGTCTGTGAGGCCAGTCACCTGGAGTGCTCCCCAGGGTTAGATGATGCTCCAGGGACCATGTGTGAAAGGGTGTTGTGCTGCAGCTTCCAGTTCCTCAGGTCCCAGGGTCTCTTCTTTGGGTTAACTGGCATTTGCGGTGACTTGACGGGATGCCCTGTGGAAAATTCCCCCCGTATTATATGTAAGTAAGGGCAGTAACTCTTTTTTAAAGGCAGAAAATATTCCAGAGGAGAAGCCCTTTCAATTTCTCCTTCAAGACCTGAGAAATATTTTGGTGGTGGGTGGAGGTTTTTTGTTTTGTGGGCTAGATTTTGTTTGTTTGGTGGTATCTTTTGTGGGGTTTTTTTGGTTTGTTCTGTTGTTTTGTTTTGTTTGTTTGGTTTTTTAGGAGCTTCTGGGGGGCCCTGGAAGTCCCTGCTGCGAGGAGACAGGGGACAGAGGATGGTAGGAACCAGGTTGGCTGGCTGGTGATGTGCAAACCTAAAAGCTGTGTTTGCAGTGTGATGGCTGGGCAGCTCATCTGCTGTTAAGAGGCTGTGGTTATTCCCTCATTCTCCTTTTGCTTCTGCTGGTGAAGGGCAGCTTTCCCAGTGGTGGGCAGGGTCCCAGAGCAGTGCTGTCAGTGCCTGCTGCCCTCAGTGTTTGACGTGCTGCCAACAGGCTGCGTTGGTCCTCACGGGCGAGGGGTGGAAGGTACTTTGAACTGGTGTGACTGCACTCTGCATGGACTCTGCACCTCGTCCTGACAGCAGCACATTCTGCTCTGAGTCACAAGTACCCTCCTGGGTACCATCAAGGGCTGGAGTCTATGTCAGGTCTGCCATTGGGGACCTTGAACTCATCTTGTGCCTGGATACCAATGAGTCCTGCTGGTTAGAGAATAAGACAAGAATTCGTAATTTTAAGAGTTGATCTGTTGTTAAAGGAAGCCCATGACTGATGTTTTCAGCTCAGAACACAACTGTTCACGTTCAGCATATCTGGCCTGAAGTTAAAAAAAAAGTGTTTTCAATATGAGATTAGTTAATTTAGAAGTCCCTGTGGGATTTGAACCTTCTTGAAAACTTGCTTCCTTTATTTGTTGCTGTGAAACCACCCTGCTCACCTCACCCTGTTGGACCCTCTCTGATGGTCACAGGAGAAGCTAGTCTTCTGTGGTGGCACTTCATGCCTAGCAAGTGTTTGCTGAAAACCAGAATGGGTGGTTCTGCCTATCACATGATAGGGTGTTCTTAGGTAGGTTTTGAAACATGGTCTGCCTAGCAGGTTGTTACCAGGGTTTCTGTTCCTGAGGATTGGAGGAGTAGATGAGATGTCACAGGAGTGGTTTCACAAAGTCCCTCATAACTCAGGTAAGGTATTTTTGCATTTATGTGCGAAGAAAGAAGAGGTCTGTTCTATAGCATTTGAATTCTATCCTTTGCAATTAAAACACCGTGAAATGCTGAATTTTCTAACTTAAGGTGCAGATTTGAAGAGCAGGATAACAGAAAACTATAGGCATGGTAGGCTGAAGAGCAATACTGCCTATAGAAATATACTGGTTTATTATATGTCACGAAGTGTTTTTGATACTTTGGTAGCAACATGCCTTGCAATTAGTTTACTATGGGAGGTCCGATGAATACCACCATCCAGAAAAAATATGCATAACTTCTTTCTTTTAATCAAATGCACATGTTCTGGCATAATGGATAAGTTCAAATCTGCTCTTCTGGCCAGCTGCCGGCAGAGTCCAGAGCCACTGGAACTGTAAATACAACAGACAAGTCATTTTATGATATCAGACAGAAGAATTC